TCTTTGGAAAGATAACATTTTCCTTAATTGAAAATGTATTACCTATAGATACCCCTATAAACAGAAAGCTCTTGAAGTCATGATAATCTGCCTATGAAACTTGCATGCCACGTGAAAACTACAACCAAACTTTACTGTGAAATGTGAATTTGAGTTACATGATGTCGTATCATGCAGCAAAACTCTCCATCAATATGACACACCTCCTTGTACAAATGTGCCCTCTACAATCACGGGTGAAACTCCTATTCTTTGACAACGCAACAAATAAAGGATGATGAGTGGGAATGTGTACGGAGGTGAGTGTCTATCACAAATATGTTTTCAATTAAGAAAAATTTTCATTTTCAATACAATCACTCACCTCCATATATAAAAAGCTAGCCTCCAATGTTGAGATGGAGGAAGGACCATTTCAAAATTTACCTAGATGAGCTTCCTTCAGCAAGTGTCTGAAGGAAGCCAATGGAGTGTGACACAATATGGCAGGGGCATCTGTGGGATACCACATCTCCTCTCATCCAGGATACACTCTACTCACGAGTAGGTTTATAAAGGGCAAAAGGCATGAATTGTGTTGTAAGATGGAGCAGAATAGGTACAAAACTGTCCAAGTACTTGCAAACAAGATATTGGATATCCTTTAGGGCCCTTTGCCAGTCACGGGAGGAGAGCACCCTGTATTCATTTTAGTTTATTGGATACAATTAGTATGGACACTTACATAACCACAACTCAACACTATGGGCCACTTACCTTACTGTGGGAGTAGGGTGTGTGAGTAATATATCACAGTTGGATATTAAATAATATCATCTTCTCCACCATCAGACACAGAAGGAGTAGGAATTCTGATAAATACAGACATATATATACCAATGTGATATTGTGATATGTGTCTAAGTTCCACTTGGAGATTGTGATGTATCAGTATGCAGTGGTGTGATCTGCACTAAACTCCAGAAACACCCCTGCCCCATTTCTAATTTTAAAAGTGAGTGTGGCTGCTACTGGTCAGGAGAAGATTTATAATGTCTTTGTTGGAACTGCGTTCTTGGAATTTGATTTAGTTAGAGGTAATAAATCTGTATACGCATAATTTGATCATCTGGGCAAATCTTGTACGTACACTACAGCTGGAATAGAAGAAACCCAAGCTAAAATATTGTTAACTGTACACACATTATGTGACAACAAAACCAAAGTTTTAATTGCTTGTTTTAGCGATTTCTTTTGAAATAAAGGAATAATATAAAACTTTGAATTATAAGAAACTTGATCATGCTACTTTCATTAACATATATTTAGAGTAAAGTGGTTTAATTGAATTTTGAATGTAACTCAGTAACATTTTGTGACATGTGTAGAAAGGAATTTATACAGTGCATCAGATCTTGTAGGGTTAAGAAATTAGGTACGAACTGTCAGGTGTGGAGGATGTGGCATAATTTGTGAAAATGAATCTGTTTTAGAAAGGATGAAACATGAACAGAAATATCAGGGAAGTGTGGAATAAACCTATAAATCAAAAGTGGAAAGATTTTGTAAAAGAAATCGGGAAGCATTATAAAGAAAAAGAATGGTACATACCTAGGTAACAAGTTCCTAGAAAACCTGAAAAGGATCAAACATGTTCCTCAGAAGAAAAGGAGATACTCTAGTCAAAAGCAGGAGGTTGAGAAAAATTGTTCATGTTGTTCACCTCAACTTCAGATTCAAACTCCTGTGAATGGAATAGTGTGGCAGGGATGGAAGAGGAGAGTCCTGGCAGTAACATGGACCACATTACACATTGGACAATCACTGGCTGTCACAATCTCAATGGGTAAAGAACTTCCTATATCGTTGGTGAGTGATATTGTACTCATTTAAGCAGAAAAAAGAATTCACATCAAATTGTGAATTCATACTGAAAGGTTTAATAACCCAACATAAAGTTCTTGAAGTAAAATACATCAACAAGTCTAAGCAAAAATAAACATGTCTTTGCATGACTGTGCTGAGGAAAAGGATGTGGAATTTCATGTACGAGGGTACATTTGCACAAGATGGTGTGTCACACTCCTATTGCTGGAGCGTTTTGCTGTGTGATACATCATCATGCAGTAACACAAATTCACGTGAAGTTTGAGTGGGAGTTTTCACAGAGTTGATGGCATGCAGGTTTCTCAGGCAAAATAGTGCAACTTCAAGAGAATAATATCTTTCTGTGTACGGAGTTGAGTGATCGTATCAGAAACTGGATTTAATGTTAGGTCTATACATAGCTCTATATAGATCTAATTGTTTCACGTACAACTCGATCTGCTTCTTATATCACACACACAAACAATTAGGCCTTTATCACTAAATGTTAGGCCTATACAGACTTAATTAGATTCCCATAGCTATATTGATTTACCTGTTTCTATTAATTTATAAAGTAGACTCAGATTTAGAGACTAAATCTAGATCCAGTTAACATATTAGGCATACATACTAACACTAAATTATGTTAGATTCTCACTTTAGTCACATCAGTGTCTGATTTATAGGAATGATTTATAGCCTATGCATACATGCCCAGAAGCCTTATGCAATATAATACACTATGCAAAACTGCTAGCTATTAATAGAAACATTTATTATCTTATAGCCAAACTTGCAATGCTTAGTAAGTATTAAAAAAAGAAAGATATCTACTTATGTTAAATCACAGTTTCAACAGATCAGTTAAAATATTGTGATCATATCCTTGTCAGACAATAACATGCATGTGCATACATGGAAAAACAGTCTGTTTGGTTGATAATTGATGTTTTCAAACTACTTATCTTTAACCTTCATTAAGATTTCTGGGTCAGCTCATTGTCTAAATTTCAAAACCTTTCAAAATTTTCCATAATATTTCCATTCAGAAATTGAACTTTTCAAGGATTTCCAGGACCTCAGTAATTCTGTTTTCTGTATGACATGAAGCCACAAGGGCTGCCATATTGATTGGAAGTTGTTATAGTTCAGAAGCAAGATGTAAATATGTCTCAATTTAGCCACCAAAACCATGTTTTGTTGTCAATAATTAATATGCTACTCTCTCATACGAAACATGATGGTTAATATCTCAAGTAAAACATCTCTACAATTACAAAATTAATAGAAATGTAATTTAAAAAGTTTGTTTCATTTCAAGAACAAAAAAAGTGTTCCAGTATAAGAAATGGTGAAATAAGAGAATAAAGAACCCCTTTTGCTCTTTTTATCAGCCCCTGAACATTCACTTTAAGGCTCTTATCAACAGTCATGTCAAAATCATTCTCTTCTGAACCACTAATGTTCTATCTAAACCAAAGTTACTCTTGCCAAGTGATTGACCATACCAGAAATGTACAACTTTAGTCTATAAAAATTTTTAAACTCATCTTCCTTTTATTGGCCAGTCACGAACACTATTATCATCGTTTTGCATGGTAGAAACAATCTCAGCAGAATCAGCTCTTAATGGACACCTCGATATCATAAGCAATTTAAGAAAGTTGTATGGTGAACTATTAAACAATATCAAAAACAGAACTGATTCAACCAACAACAAATCCTCTTCCAAATGTAGCACTTGTTACACTAACAAAACATAAAGAAAGAAGAACTAAAACCTACACATAAAATACAGAAATAATAATAAAAAACACTTCCAAGAAGAGTATTAAAAATGGGGACAAGCTTACCAAAAATTTAAATTATGTAGCAAAAAAACTGATATATAAAAAACAACCAATAAATGAAAGCTTTCCAATAACACGTTAAAGAAAAATTGGCTACTTTTGGGAAAAGTTAAAGAAAAATAGGGCATAATTATAAAATATTGGAATAATAAGGTGATAGAAGATTTTACTCAGATGGGCAGTTAATAAATATTAAGTAATTAATGATGTACTTACCCAGGAGTTCCAGTTTTTACATGTTTGATACACATATCAACGTCTCTACTAGGAGTACATGTTTGATACACTCCAGTTTTTAAATGTTTGACACAGGTATCATGGTCTCTCCTACAGATTCAGGTTTTTACATGTATGACACAGGAATTAAGGTCTCTCCTAAGACTTCAGGTTTGTCATGTTTGATACACATATCATGGTCTCTCCAGTTTTTAAATGTTTGACACAGGAATCAAGGTCTCTCCTACAGATTCAGGTTTTTACATGTATGACACAGGAATTAAGGTCTCTCCTAAGACTTCAAGTTTGTCATGTTTGATACATATATCATGGTCTCTCCAGTTTTTACATGTTTGATACACATATCAACATCTCTACTAGGAGTACATGTTTGATACACTCCAGTTTTTAAATGTTTGACACAGGTATCATGGTCTCTCCTACAGATTCAGGTTTTTACATGTATGACACAGGAATTAAGGTCTCTCCTAAGACTTCAGGTTTGTCATGTTTGATACACATATCATGGTCTCTCCAGTTTTTAAATGTTTGACACAGGAATCAAGGTCTCTCCTAAGAGCTCAGGTTTGTTATGTGTTTACGTTTGTCACTCACACCAAGGAAACTTACAGAAATCTCCTCGGTGAAATCTGAAACAGTCAGACTGTCACTCAGAAGGTTTCTACTACAAATGACTAACCTGAAAAGGGTAACAAACAAACTCTTTCCTTCGACCAAATAAGGAAGAGGGTCACCTGAACAAATACTAGTGATAAATAAGAAAATAGAGGACATTGGAAAGCCAGTTATCACCAGGTGCTGGAATTAGCCATAGTCATACTTTTACAACAATCAAATTATTGGTGCCCTTGTCATATTCCTGCTGTTACATTAAGGCAGTACAAAGAGATTAAAACACTGGTACTATACTGAATATAAAAAAAGCTTTCCATCTGACAGAAGTTGCAACTTGCTATTTCATTTTGAAGACATTTAAAATACTATTGTACAGATTACAGGCCATCATAATAGTACTCAGTTTATAACTGACATTTGTTAAAATTAACTGAATAATTACACACATACCGAGTAGATGTTCCTTTTCGTACATCACACATTAGACACTTAAAAGCTTCAGCAGAGTTACGATACGTGCAGACACTACAATCCCAGTAGTTCTCATCTCCTAGATTGGTCTGTCTTCTAAGTTTTCTATGGAAAAAGAAAATAATTCAGAACAATTTACTGCCAAATGTAGATTACAAATCAAGTTTAGCACCAGCATAAACTTTCAACCCATAACTTACATGGCCAAAAGCAACATTTTAAATTCAGCTAGTTCTATGACTAAGTTTAAACTGTGTGCATTATTCTGGACTTAAAGATTTGATTCTGTTAAGCATAGCAAATGTTAGGTAATTATGTATCGTATACCTTATGATCGATAAAATCTGACATTTCATCTATTATTTGTTAGAGCAAGCACCATATGATCAATGAACTTTATAATCAAGTATGGGTCAGGTCTTCCACTGATGTTCCAGATGATTAATGAACTCTATAATCAAGTATGGGTCAAGTCTACCACTGATGTTCCATATGATTAATGAACTCTATAATCAAGTATGGGTCAAGTCTACCACTGATGTTCCATATGATTAATGAACTCTATAATCAAGTATGGGTCAGGTCTACCACTGATGTTCCATATGATTAATGAACTCTATAATCAAGTATGGGTCAGGTCTACCACTGATGTTCCATATGATTAATGAACTCTATAATCAAGTATGGGTCAGTCTACCACTGATGTTCCATTTGATCAATGAACACTATAATCAAGTATGGGTCAAGTCTACCACTGATGTTCCATTTGATCAATGAACACTATAATCAAGTATGGGTCAAGTCTACCACTGATGTTCCAGATGATTAATGAACTGTATAATCAAGTATGGGTCAGGTCTACCACTGATGTTCCAGATGATTAATGAACCATACATTCAAGTATGGGTCAGGTCTACCACTGATGTTCCATTTGATCAATGAACACTATAATCAAGTATGGGTCAAGTCTACCACTGATGTTCCATATGATTAATGAATTTTATAATCAAGTATGTATCAGGACATCATAACCTAGTTGGCCATCAATACGGCAAATTAAATATACTTTTCTTACATTTCCAATTATAATGCACTGTTTCCACAGTTGGGTACCCTCACTATTAACTAAGGGCTCAATATCTCTTGAAAGAACTAATCAACAGCATACTAAACCCTTATATCATCACATAGAAACAAAGTTTCTTCTCAGTTTCCATAGTGTTTATTTTGATGGCACATTTAACTTCTGGCACTTTATAAACTGTGCGGTAAAGTTTTCTTTGGACAAACAAATTTCAAAACTTAGAATGAAAATTATTACATAAACTTTGAATTATTATTATTTATGAATCCAAGTTTCAAAGGGACAGCAACTGCCTGTTGTAGAAACCTACAAATGTAGAAAACGACGTTTCGAAAGTCTTCCGCTTTTCGTCTTCTAATGTCAGAAACAGTCTGCATGTGCTGGCTCTTAGAATAAGCATAGCATGCTCTCTCAATGGCAAGTGTAGGAAGTAAAGGAGAACAGTAGCTGTAACATTGAAGTATACAAGAGCTGTACATCTGCTGGTAGTGTTACATAAAGTGTAATGATTCAGTTTTCAGCTTGGTTGTTTTCAATGTATTATGGAAAGTTTGTAGTAATCATCAAAACAAGGACTAACAATGAAGCATTTTTGTACTTAGATAAAAACGTGTTAATGTTTGTTTCATTTTATTAAAATGTTTTAATATAACAGCAAGAACAACTACATGTGTAATATTAATCACATTCAAGTGTTACAATACAAACTTGTTCAATTGTTTCAGTATCCTCACATTAAAAGTTCTTCCCAAAATGTCACCAGATTTTTTGTTTTGTAATATTAAATTTAAACTATTTATTTCATTATTATTTACCATGCTGTTTACATCCATCATATATTATTTCCTTTTGAAAAATATTTACAAGCTTATATTATGATTCAATCAAAGATCTCACATAATGAAATTATTATTATACATATATTTTTATGCCATGAATTTCGAACACAGACAGTGAAATGATCAAACGGTATATTTCAAGCTACCTAACTGTATAAATACATCATAAAAAAAACAACATGTATATCTATCAAAGTAAACAACTCACTTCAAAAAGAAAAATAACAAGCGAATAATTTCTGTTTCACATTTCCATGTGTTTAACATTATACAAGGCTCACAAATTCTATCACTTTTTGATTCATCTGTATCGGCATATAAATGTTAAAGCATTCCACTTTCTGTAATTGTTATAAAATATACAATGAACACAGTTGGACCTAAATTTACAGTACGTGATTGTTTCAATAGAAACAAATTTTCTATCAATACTAAAAATTAAAATACCTTTCAATCACTATAAACTTTAATTAACCAAAACATTCTTCTGCTCCATACAAATATCAGTATACAACAATAATTAAACACAACACTAGAATGAAAACAAGATATGAACACCGCTCATCATTACTATTTACTCATCCTAATGACAATATTAATACACAGTATTATACAGAACCCAGCATTTATTGGCCTGTGGGTAGTTGCATATGTTGTCTCAGTTTCAAGTTCAAAGTAAATATATTTTACTTTATTAATTTTTACACGTTCTATTTTATATTTCATCATTTATGTGGTTTCATAAATGTTTCCCAAACAATTATTTTCATTTTACACTTATTTCTTTTTATTATGTTTAAAATAGATTTCTGTCACGTCACAAACGAGTATACTTTATGACAGTTACTCATTAAAATGTTATCGTAAGAAATTAGATTTAGAATCTAGACTAAAGTAGTAAAGACTACAAATAGTATAATTTATAATATAAATAGTAATATAATTATAAATATAAAAGTTAAAAGGAAAAAATAAACGAGTTGGTAACTGATTTTACCTGTTTGGGCTTTTCTTAGAGTTAGAGTCCATTACTAAAAACTAATAATAGTTTACCAGTTACTTTGTATCTTAAATCTATACGAAACGTTTGATACCTCTATCTAAAATCAACAAAAGTTTTATATACTTTGTGGTATGATAATATGAGAGAGTTTCTCAGTTTGTTATTAGTTCTATCTATTAAGTATACGAATTAGTCCTAACACTAATATGAAGTTACGATACTCTACTGGTAAACGAAGGGAACTAGAATTCAGTATAGTTCTACAATCAAACATCGGAGAGTTCTTTTAATACTCACCAGGATTACCGCCATTTATTTATGGGTTACTATTTTTTAATCGTACATGTAACTTTGAGTAACTCAAATACAATCAAATCACCGAACATTTTATAATATTGGGAGAAAAATAATTTAATTTGAGAATTTGCTTACATCGTTTAACATATATTTATATTTAATAAGATACTTTTATGATGATCATCAATTCATACACTTTCTCA